CAGGGTATTGTGGGTTAGTTGTGAATTGTAGTCAGGGTATAGTGGGTTAGTTGTGAATTGTAGTCAGGGTATAGTGGGTTAGTTGTGAATTGTTGTAGCCAGGGTATTGTGGGTTAGTTATGAATTGTAGTCAGGGTATAGTGGGTTAGTTGTGAATTGTTGTAGCCAGGGTATTGTGGGTTAGTTGTGAATTGTAGTCAGGGTATAGTGGGTTAGTTGTGAATTGTAGTCAGGGTATAGTGGGTTAGTTGTGAATTGTTGTAGCCAGGGTATTGTGGGTTAGTTATGAATTGTAGTCAGGGTATAGTGGGTTAGTTGTGAATTGTTGTAGCCAGGGTATTGTGGGTTAGTTATGAATTGTAGTCAGGGTATAGTGGGTTAGTTGTGAATTGTTGTAGCCAGGGTATTGTGGGTTAGTTATGAATTGTAGTCAGGGTATAGTGGGTTAGTTGTGAATTGTTGTAGCCAGGGTATTGTGGGTTAGTTGTGAATTGTAGTCAGGGTATAGTGGGTTAGTTGTGAATTGTAGTCAGGGTATAGTGGGTTAGTTGTGAATTGTTGTAGCCAGGGTATTGTGGGTTAGTTATGAATTGTTGTAGCCAGGGTATTGTGGGTTAGTTATGAATTGTTGTAGCCAGGGTATTGTGGGTTAGTTGTGAATTGTAGTCAGGGTATAGTGGGTTAGTTGTGAATTGTTGTAGCCAGGGTATTGTGGGTTAGTTGTGAATTGTTGTAGTCAGGGATAGTGGGTTATTTATCATAAGATTACTGTAAGTTAACTAACAAAGCAGTACACACACCAGTACACACCAGTACACACACCAGTACACACCAGTACACACACCAGTACACATCAGTACACACACCAGTACACACCAATACACATCAGTACACATAGTACACACTAGTACACACCAGTACACACACCAGTACACACACCAGTACACACACCATTACACACACCAATACACACCAGTACACACACCAGTACACACCAGTACACACGCCAGTATACACCAGTACACACACTGGTGCAAACACCAGTACACACCAGTACACACACCAGTACGCGCACCAGTACACACCAGTAAACACAACAGTACACACACCAGTACACACACCGGTACACACCAGTACACACACCAGTACACACCAGTACATATACCAGTACACACCAGTGTACACACCACTACACACACTACTACACACACCAGTACACACCAGTACATACACCATTACACACAAGTACACACACCAGTACATACACGAGTACACACACCAGTAAATACACCAGTACACACACAAGTACACACACCAGTAAACACAACAGTACACACACCAGTACACACCAGTACACACATCAGTACGCGCACCAGTACACACACCAGTACACACACCAGTAAACACCCGTACACACACCAGTACACACACCAGTATATGCACCAGCACACACACCAGTACACACACCAGTACACTCACCAGTACACACACCAGTACACACACCAGTACACTCACCAGTACACACACCAGTACACACACCAGTAAACACCAGTACACACACCAGTATACACACCAGTATATGCACCAGCACACACACCAGTACACACACCAATACACACACCAGTACACACACCAGTACACACCAGTACACATACCAGTACACACACCAGTATATGCACCAGCACACACACCAGTACAAACACCAGTACACACCAGTACACACACCAGTACGCACACCAGTAAACACCAGTACACACACCAGTATATGCACCAGCACACACACCAGTACACACACCAGTACACACCAGTACACATACCAGTACACACCAGTACACACACTAGTACATACACCAGTGCACACACACCAGTACACACACACACCAGTACACACACCAGTACACACACCAATATGCAGCGCCAGTATGGAACCCTCACTTAGTCAAACACGTCAGGAAATTGGAAAAAGTGCAAAAATTTGCAACACGATTAGTCCCGGAACTGAGGGGTATGTCTTATGAGGAGAGGTTAGGGGAACTCAACCTGATGACACTAGAGGATGGGAGGGATAGAGGGGACATGATAACAACGTATAAAATACTAAGAGGCATTGACAACGTGGACAAGGATCGAATGTTTCAGAGATGGGATACAGATACACGGGGACACAATTGGAAACTGAAAACCCAGATGAGTCATAGGGATGTTAGGAAGTATTTCTTTAGTCTTAGAGTTGTCAGGAACTGGAATAATCTGGAGAGTGAAGTAGTGGAAGCAAGTTCCATAAATAGCTTTAAGAAGAGGTATGACAAATATCATGGAGCATGGAGAGAGTGAATTAGTATCGACCAATGAAGAGGCGGGGCCAGGAGCTATGAATCGACCACTGCAACCACATATAGGTGAGTACACCAGTACACACACTAGTACACACACACCAGTACACAATTCATTTCATGGACTTTAAAATTAATTCCAGAAAAAGTATCCAGATGGAGGCACTGGACCGATTTGGTCCTAAAGTGGACCAACATGTCCATGAACTGGACCGAATGGTCATAAAGGGTACAGTAGCAGTTAAATAATTCACATGGAACACCATATTACCTTCTTGTCTCAGTACCCCATTAAATGGCGGCTGAAGAAAGTACCAAGATTGCGACAGTCTATTGTTTTTTTGTGGTTAGTAACGAGATCAGTGGTGATGGTGACTGGTCTGAGAGGGAGATCAGTGGTGATGGAGTCTGGTCTGAGAGGGAGATCAGTGGTGATGGAGTCTGGTCTGAGAGGGAGATCAGTGGTGATGGAGTCTGGTCTGGGAGGGAGATCAGTAGTGATGGAGTCTGGTCTGGGAGGGAGATCAGTGGTGATGGTGTCTGGTCTGAGAGGGAGATCAGTGGTGATGGTGTCTGGTCTGGGAGGGAGATCAGTAGTGATGGAGTCTGGTCTGGGAGGGAGATCAGTGGTGATGGTGTCTGGTCTGAGAGGGAGATCAGTGGTGATGGAGTCTGGTCTGGGAGGGAGATCAGTAGTGATGGAGTCTGGTCTGGGAGGGAGATCAGTGGTGATGGTGTCTGGTCTGAGAGGGAGATCAGTGGTGATGGTGTCTGGTCTGGGAGGGAGATCAGTAGTGATGGAGTCTGGTCTGGGAGGGAGATCAGTGGTGATGGTGTCTGGTCTGGGAGGGAGATCAGTAGTGATGGAGTCTGGTCTGGGAGGGAGATCAGTGGTGATGGAGTCTGGTCTGGAGAGGAAGATCAGTAGGTGATGGAGTCTGGTCTGGGAGGGAGATCAGTGTGATGGAGTCTGGTCTGGGAGGGAAGATCAGTAGTGATGGAGTCTGGTCTGGAGAGGAAGATCAGTAGTGATGGAGTCTGGTCTGGGAGGGAGATCAGTGGTGATGGAGTCTGGTCTGGGAGGAAGATCAGTAGTGATGGAGTCTGGTCTGGGAGGGAGATCAGTGGTGATGGAGTCTGGTCTGAGAGGAAGATCAGTGGTGATTGTGTCTGGTCTGAGAGGGAGATCAGTAGTGATGGAGTCTGGTCTGGGAGGGAGATCAGTGGTGATGGGTCTGGTCTGGAGGGAGATCAGTGGTGATGGTGTCTGGTCTGGGAGGGAGATCAGTGGTGATGTGTCTGGTCTGGGAGGGAGATCAGTGGTGATGGTGTCTGGTCTGAGAGGGAGATCAGTGGTGATGGTGTCTGGTCTGGGAGGGAGATCAGTGGTGATGGTGTCTGGTCTGGGAGGGAGATCAGTGGTGATGGTGTCTGGTCTGGGAGGGAGATCAGTGGTGATGGGTCTGGTCTGGGAGGGAGATCAGTAGTGATGGAGTCTGGTCTGAGAGGGAGATCAGTGGTGATGGAGTCTGGTCTGGGACGAGATAGTGGATGAGCTGGTCTGGCGAGCTGGGGGGATGACCCATCATGGTCAGTCAGGATATGGTGGATTTAATCAGTGTAGATTCATTCTGGGAATAAGCAAATTATTCTATATGTACTGGTAATGGAAAGCGAACACCGGGCACACCCCAATGCACAACACACAATATAGTGATTATTAAATATTTAATTTAATTTTATGAAATTATAGCAATATTATTACTATATATATTAAATGTCACACCACTCAAAAGAACAACCTTTCACACTCACATATCAACCTAATCCAAAGGTACACAGCGCAACCACTTTAGATATATTTTAATAGTTATGTATCTTATATATATATATATATATATATATATATATATATATATATATATATATATATATATATATACATATATATATATATGCAAAAAATATCTGAGGAATAGAAAAGTTTCAACGCTTCGTGTTACTCATTTATCACAGTTTACATGGCTATTTCGTTGATAAGTGAGTAGTCACAAGCCTGGCATGCTTCCTCTTTACTTTCAGAGTGTGTTTTGACATAATTTTAAATCACCTGTTTAACTTGACCTTTGGCTGAATTGTATCATACAAATCTATAAATTACTGTCTATATACAAGACAATAAAATAATATATATAGCACTATAAGATATATATAAATATCAATTTGGGGTCGAATCATAACTCCAATGTGTGTGTGCGAACGCGTTCGTGTTTGTATATGTGTATTCACCACTTTACTGGCCTATTTATGGTTGTAAGGGTCGAGTCACAGCCCCTGGCCATGCCTCCTCGCTGGTCGCTACTTTATGTATGTGTGTGCACTGTGTAAATGAGATTTGTAAAATACTGCATTGAAAAAAACTTGACCATTTCCAGGGGGTCTGAATTGTATCCATACAAGTCTATAATCTGAGTCCTCGTCTATAGCAAGACAAAAAATAATTAATACGCAGCTTCAAGACTATACTGAAAATCAATTTGGGATGTTGAGCCTTGACACAGTGAGGACCCAACAGGGTGTGGTCTGTGTAACCTTTGTCAGTGAAAGAACACAGATCACTGGAGAAACCTGTCCTTTAAATCAGTGCCCAACCAGGTATAAATAGGAGCAGCAAGCAGGAGCTGGGCATCAGTTGTGGTACCTACCTTCACTATGAACACTAAGGTACCTAACTCTCAGTCATTTTTGTCTCATATGTGATCTAAATATTTTTGTAATGTTATTACCTATCGTCCTAAAGTTTACTAATATACATTTTCTCAAACTTGAAGTTCTCTAAGAATAAACTTAAACTTTTAAGAAAAGTTCTATGTATTCTGAAGGTAAATTTTTTTTATTATATTGATGGAGAAGCGTTAAATCAGTAAGGGCCTAACATGACTTGGGGAACACAGATAAGGAGGTTATATGTAGAGAATTAGTTCAGAGAACCGACACACTGATGAACAAGACGCTTGTTCAACACTTGTGTATCTTTACTGTGGCAACGTTTCGCCCACCAGCAGCTTCCTCAGTCCAATACAAAGAAGATTATGTCTACATCATCAGTGAAGTTAGATACAAGAAAAAAAAAAAAGAGGCTAGCTTCAGTTTAATGGATTAAAATCTCTGTATAATTATTACTTAAAGAGTTGAATGCCTCACTAAACACCATTACAGCCACTGTTTACTCTCTAGATCATAGGTAATATACCTCGTGTAAGAGACACTTTTCGCTCTCCAGAAGATCTATCAAACCAATACAAATAAGAACGATACATAGCATTAACAAATATCTTAAATAATTACTCATGTCTCCTTTCAACTAACATTTTGTGTTTAATTCCAGCAATAATTTAACTTTGCAGATCCTTGTGTTGCTGGGAGTGTTGGCTGTGGTGGCAGCTGATAAATTACCTTCACCATCCTACGGTCCTCCTCCAGTAAGTCACACACATCTATTACTTATTGTATATATGACAAAATGTCTATTTTTGTCTATTACGGGGTGTATATAGGCCCAAAATGTTTACTGTGATCTTATTATGCTTGTGTATATAAGAGGAACCCTACTTAGAGGAAATATAACAAGAAACCACGGTATTTGTTAGATGACAAGTGAAGTTGTCTTAAGCCCAAGAGTGTGTTTGTTGAGTGTGTTTGTGTAAGAAACGTAGTTTGCAGAGCAAGTTTTAATTATGACGTTTCACTCAGTGTAGAGTTTCATTAAGTTATCTTGATGAAGTCCAACACTGAACCAGACTTCGTCAGTATAAATATTTCTTTCCTAAACTTAATCTTTAATATTAAAGTTTGTTGATGACGACCTGAGATGTGGATCAAAATATGCAATATTCTGTTTATATTTTCTTCAATTTTCTCCCCCTTTTTTTTTGTAAGTGACCAGTGATTATTACACTTTTGCTTGTTGTTGCAAGTGACCAGTGATTATTACACTTTGTTTTTTGTAAGTGACCAGTGATTATTACACTTTGTTTGTTGTTGCAAGTGACCAGTGATTATTACACTTTGTTTGTTGTTGCAAGTGACCAGTGATTATTACACTTTGTTGTTGCAAGTGACCAGTGATTATTACACTTTGTTTGTTGTTGCAAGTGACCAGTGATTATTACACTTTGTTGTTGCAAGTGACCAGTGATTATTACACTTTGTTTTAGTAAGTGACCAGTGATTATTACACTTGTTTTTTGTAAGTGACAGTTATTATTGCACTTTTATTTGTATAAGTGCGTGCTGGAGTAGAGTTCCAGATCTCGACATAAATGTTCCCTAGCTAACATTCCCTGGAAAATAAACTTAATAATCAAAGCTTCACTTGACAGGTGTCATCTGAGGAGACTGAGCCTGCCAAATATGGCTTTGACTGGAATGTCCAGGACTCTGAAACTGGCAACGACTTCGCCCATCAGGAGGGTCGTGATGAAGACAACACTAAGGGGTCGTACACCGTCCAGCTTCCTGATGGTCGTCGCCAGACTGTGACTTACTACGTGGACGGTGACTCAGGCTACGTCGCTGACGTTACTTACGAGGGAGAAGCTCGCTACCCTGACTCTGATGAAGTAGGTTCCTACTCTCCACCAGCTGCACCCAGTGCCCGCTACGGCGCTCCTTAGAGTGAAGCTGTGTATTACACACCAACCTTCCACCAGCAACCCACCTACAACCCACCATATGTGGGGGAATTATTGCCAGAAACTGAATGTTAACCCAACACAAGAATAATATCTGCAAGAATATTTGTTAATGTTATGTGATAATTGCATCACATAATACTTGTCATGTGTTTACAGTGGCAATATTTATCTTCTCCTCCTCATTTCTCTTTTCCTTCTATTGTAAATATGTAACCTACTTTATAAATTAAATTATGTGCATACTGTACCTTATTTTTGAGTTATCCCCCAAAACTATTATATTTTTTATGAGTTTCCCCTGAAAAAGACTCTGAAAATTCTCTAAATATTTGTTAATTGTAGCATTGATGTCTTCCACACACTGATAAATATTTTTAACACGGGAAAATTCAACTTGTTTATTCATTTTTTTTAAGATTGCACGCAGAGAATCAAACTGGGGGCTTATGTAAACCCTCCACTCTAACAGCATGATCGTGTAGGATTGTAAGTAGAATGGCGACTGTATCCCTCGGTTAGATCCCCGCATTCCATCGAAAAAAAAGGCTATGATAATCTATTACGATTTTCATTTTTGTTATGTTTTTGGATTCATAATAAGAACATAAGAAAGGAGGAACACTGCAGCAGGCCTGTTGGCCTATACTAGGCAGGTCCTTTACAATTCATCCCACTAACAAAACATTTGCCCAACCCAATTTTCAATGCCACCCAAGAAATAAGCTCTGATAACTCTATCCACTTACATGCAACAATTAATTCAACTGATATCAGTTCTACATTAATTTGTTACTGAAAAGAAAATAATGCATCCATGCTGAGAGGAAAAATAATAAGTGAAATAGTATATTTTCTAAGTGCACTAAAACTAGCTGATGAAGTCTTTGGTATATCTACACAAAGCTATTTAATCACCAAAATCTGCTGCAATGTCGGTCTACAAACTATTCAATTGCAACAGCCCATTGCTGAAAAGGTTGCATGGCGATCCGCTTGCAGCTTCTATGTTCAACATGGAGATCACCTGTCTCACAGCTGTGAGTGACCCTCACTCAGGAGACTTCCTCTTAACAGTTTTTATTCCGACAAGAAGTTTATGTCTGAAACCGCAGACTTCACGTTGCAGTGGTTCTCAGTCTCGTCCCTCAGTCACCCAAGTTCCAAGGGATGGCTTGGTATAAACTTTTATAATAGTTACCGACGAATTGGTTAAGAAAGACACGTGAACAGACTCTAAGATATATTTATAAGAAAACGATACACTTCTGGAACCTGGATCACTTCCAACAGAGTTTAAAAAGACAGTATATATAGGCAGAGTGAGGTGTGAGTGACATGACCTGAAGAATGACATATTGGGACGTGGACAGGTAGACAATGAGGTCAAATCATAACAAATATATCGAAATAAGTAGACCCTCGAATTTCATCGTCCCTTTTCTGTTTGCAAAACTATAGTTATTTTCTATAAAATGATTTTTTTTTGTTAATATTTCCCATAAGAAATAATGTAAATCCAATTAATTCATTCCAGACACCCAAAAACATTAACAAAAATACATTTTACGGATAATAACTATAGTTTTACATACAGAAAAGGGGTGACGAAATTCGAGGGTCTTCCAAAGGAGCCTCGCTACAGCTGACTATCTTAGAGAGATAACTAATATAAAATACCAACATGTTCTAAAAATAAACACAAAAGCGCTGTTATGAGATTCTTTACTGACTACGTTTCGCCCATGCAGTGGCCTTTATCGGACATCTTGGTGAATATAAATAGGAAGCTCGTCTGTCTGGCGCTTAGCAGACGAAGGATCGAGCCCCCACCAACGTCTTCTGCAAAATGACCTACGTGGGTTTAGTGTTTATCATGGATTAATAAATGTAGGCTTTATCAAGTTACAAACAGATCTGACTTGAAAATGTTTCAGAGTTTATTTTTCCAGCTAGGATAAAGGGAAGACAGTTCATTATTATCCCAGTATCCTGGTAAACTTGCTACCCACGTTAATGGGATAACAATACATTATCCTGGTAAACTTGGTAGCCACCTTAATGGGAGCACAATCCATTATCCTGGTAAACTTGATAGCCACCATAATGGGACCACAATCTACGAGAGAATGGCAGACATGGTACTACACCGGCGTCTTCATTCTGGCTAACACTATACGTCTGAACGTACGGCAGCACAGCGGTGCTGCTGATCATAGGGAAGAATGGAAGCTCAGCGGATATATCTATATATATATATATATATATATATATATATATATATATATATATATATATATATATATATATATATATATATATATATATATAATACATACATACATACATATATATATATATATATATATATATATATATATATATATATATATATATATATATATATATATATATTATTTTAAAGAGATTAGTAAGGGAGAAAAAATTACCATGTGAGAGGTTTTTACAAAGTAGAAGTGATACAAGTATCATGTGGGAGTTCGATACGTGGATTAGGGTAGAAATACTCACGTAGGCTGTTATACGTATTATTACTGTTATGTGGACAGAGCCCGCAGCCGTACCTATCTCCTTGGCTACACTCGTGAAACTGACTAGCCGGCTGGCCAGTACCCCGTAGTGGGTGTTTTGAAAATAGTGTCAGCTCAGCACAATATGAAGACCGTGACTCAAGACGGTTGGTCGTTGAGTCAACGGACGGTTACGGTAACTGGTTACTGACGGTAACTTTTTACACAAGAGAGCTCGCGACGCAACGTATGCGCCACATACAACTAATCAAACTAAATGGGGGGGTTTAACGGCTTGGGCTGTTTCATCAAGAAAGTAACAACATGACAATATAGATACAATAGAACAGGGGGAAGAAACTTACGTAACTAAATTTTGAAATGCATACAAGGTATACAATAGTACAAAACTTAAAACTCAACAAATGAAAAACGCCCAAACTTTGGATTAAAATGATAAAAAAAAAAAATTTTTGATCGATCGACTTTTTAAATATGTAAATTACGATTCGGGGAAGGAATAAACAAAGAAAGAGTTTTAACAGAAAGGCAGATTCTGAAACGCAAATCAGACTGTTACTCCAAAATGCGGAGAAACTAACAAAAAAAAAAAAAATTCTTGAATACTGATAATTTTGATGCTGTAATTTTTCATCTTACAGTTATTTACATTAACCCCAACTCGCAGGGTAAGAGGGCAATGAAAAAGGGTCATCTCGGGGAGGAAAAACTCTGTACTTTGGCTAACTCATGCTCATTTGAGGCAAACGAATTGGAATTACAAATATACTTAGGTTTCCCCCAAATACCTGTCGTGTACGAGGGAAAAGACTTTCATTGATCGTCACGAGTACAAGGAAGAATACAATCAAGGATTGTCAAGTCTTCACATTAGTCGGGTTGGAAAACATCTTATCATCACTTAAACTAACTTCATATGACCCAAAATGCGATTCTTTATACTACCGCCCTAAATTTCTCTTAAACCCTTTATACTTGTAAAAAAAAGGACACAAGTGCAACTAAACATTTATTTGGCAACTTTTCGCTCTCCAGGAGTTTTATCAAGCCTTTACAAACAAACAGGGACACAGGGGGTATATAAGGCTCAAAGGTGAATACTAGGGAGGACCTTTCCGATGTTCACTAGTGAACACGGAATGGCCCCCACAAGTATTCACCTCCCTGAGCTTTATATCCCCTCTGTGTCCATGTATTGTTTGTAATGCTTAAAAAGCCCCTGAGAGCGAAACTTTTTGCCAAAATAAATGCACATTAGTTGCATTTGTGCCTTTTTTTTACATATTGTCGTAACACAATTTATTACAACCTTATACTTATTCCATGAATTTCAATACCGAAAGGACCAACAAATTTGTAAAGCTTGGCATTGCAACGTTTTTTAAAAATTTACACATAATCTCGAACCTATTTTGATTTTGGAAGGCTTTACTCGATTTTTCGACTCTTGTAAATTTTGTTTTGATTTTGAAGGGTTTTTGGGGTTTTTTAAAAAATTTTGGTAAGGTACGGTTGTAAAAATAATTGTAATTTGGGGGGGATTAAAATATAACAACTATAGGGGAAAGTTATTAAACCTAAAGCATAATGTGGAGTGTCATATAGAAACTTGTAAGCAAAAATTATAGCAACTGCACATCAGGTATAACTCCCAATTTTCACTTTTGGGGATTGTAGTGGCTCTCAAGACACAAGACTTTCTTATTTTTTCGTTCCGCAACCCCTTTTTTTGCGGGCGGGATGATGAAACAATGGTGGTTTAGTGATCTTGTACAAGGTACCAAATTTTCAAAAATTTCATTAAAATTCACCTCCATTTCTGTTACTGGGGACTTGGGTGGATGCCTGCAGATAATGCGTTCTTTAAACCTTTAGCTACTGCCAGCATCTTACTCAATGGGAAACTAACCGCAATATCTGGGAAAGGGCTACCATAACACACAGATGTTTTTATTTTGGGGGGAACAGGGAAATTTATTAAAAAATTTTCTAGCCAACTCTTTCCCAAGGTTTTCGCTAGTATTGATACACTGGATTGGATTGGGCCTTTAGCATTGCCTTTTATGTTGAAACAGACCTACTTTTAAAAACAACTCAAAAATATCATTGCCAAAACGGGGCCCCAAAAAGATTCAACTGGTTTTTTTTTACTAACGTCCTACCAGGTGGCAACACCGGGTACATGGAACTGCTGAAAGGGCTACATTCACTATGACGGGGAAATTTACTACTGGAATACTCTTCGCTAGGAGTACCCAACTCGGCTGTTCGATACATAATTCTTGGGTTCATGGAAAGTCACTGAGGGGACGGGTGTTCACAGTCAAATAAGATCTTCCTGGAGCAGGAATCGACACCCAACCAAGGGATCTGTTCGTTGAGCATTTTTTACTCTTCAGCATAATGGAGGGCCCTGCAGTTACTATACTAACAGTCGCATAAGGCATCTGCGCCTACATTTGACTTGCCAGGTAATGCTCAAAGGTGGGTTTGAACTCGGGGAATAGTAAAGGGCCATCTAGCTAACCTTCCAGTGGGGGGGGGGGGGGTTCTGGAAAAAGGGGTTATCATGGAGATGATCGTCGACATGAACAAGTACGATAAATAAGTCTCGGAAAGTGCTTTAAAAACCATACTGGGGGGGTAAAATTCTTGCTCAGTTCGTAAAATTACTTCA